AGGGAGCAGAGGATCACTCAGTACCACGAGGAGTCGGACACGCCGTCGGTCCTGGTGAGTGGCAGCGGTTTGGACGTTTCAGGTAAAACAGCAGCTGTTAAAAAAAGGGGACTAAAGGTGGCGTCGTTGGTGTTTTCAGGGCCTGAGGGAAGGATCCATGCTGCTGGTGGAGGGGAACCGGGCCACGCTGCTGGGAACCACCAAGGCCAGACTGTTCACCAGGTAGCAGACGTTCACACGACTCTACATCGACTTAACCTCAGTCTGACCTGAATCTAAACCTAAACCTGGCCTTATTCTAACTCTAACAGAAGGATTAAATGGCATCTTATAAAAATATTAACGTTTCCTGCGGTCCATAAATGCATCGTTTGGAAATCTAAGCTTAAAACTGTGATATTTCACCATAAATGTGTCGAATTTAAAAAATCTGTCAAAAATAAAATGTTTAATTTAACAATATTTTCTAAAAAAAAAAGAAAATATTCTGCTTTATTTGGCGCAACTGAAAACTGAGCTGTAGCCAACAAGCATCTGATTAGAAATTCAGGGAGTTTTGGGCTGAACTTTAGGCTGTGAATGGAGATAAGTGATAAACGTAAGCAGTAAATAATCAGCAGGATGTGGAGCCTCATTATTCTGGGATTGTCAACATCTGTGGGAACAAAATCGGGTGAAAATGTGACAAAAAAGCTGCTGCTTGGAGGTCAGAGGGTGACAAGTTGTCAAAATGTGACTGAAAACATCCGCGAGACGAGCAGAAGACGCTCCAGTAACACCAGTAACACCAGTAACACCAGTAACACCAGTAAACAGCAGCAGCTCCGTCCTGGACTCACTGGTCTGCTGCGTTTCAGGGGGAAGCCCACGGTGGAGTACGAGCCGGGCAGCGACCTCAGCTTCCTGCTGACCGACACACACTGACCAATCAGAGGGGAGCAGGAGGTCACCATGGAGACGACACCGACCAATCAGAGGGGAGCAGGAGGTGGAGGTCACCATGGAGACGGGACCGTTGTTGTCTTCATGATGCTCAAACAGAATAAATATTTTCAGGATACAGCTGCTGCGTCCGTGTGGTGAATGATGAGCGCTGCTAAACGTTAGCATGTTAGCATAAGCTGATTTCAAAGTGTTGTTATTGACGTAATAAAAATATCGATCATTTAGTCCATAAAATGTCTGACAGTCATGAAAA